AGCTCAGACTTTATCTGCCTTTTCTCTTTGTACTTTCTCTCTTGTAGATTCTTCCATTTCTGTGGCTTTAAATATATTGATGTGTCCTAGGTTTATATAGTAGCACAGCTTCTCCTCCTAGCTACAATTCATATATCTAATTACCTACTGGGCATCTCTACTTATATGTCTAATGGACCCTTCTCAACATGGGCTATATAAGATAAGCACTCATCCTACATGCTCCTACCAGCCACTCACAACCCTGTCACTCTCCAGTTTTCTCAATCTCAGTAAAATGCACTATTTACCCAATTATTGAGGCCCCAGACCTGGAAGCTATCTTTAATACCTCTATTTTTCTCATGTACCTATGTGCAAACTTGTCAGCTCTACCTTTGAAATGAGTACTGAATGTGATCACTTCTCATCACCTCGACCTGTTTCACCTGAGTGGAGGCATCAAGACCTTTCTTTCCTTGACTTCTCCAATAGCCTCCTAACTGATCTCCTGGCTCCCACTCTCACCCCAAACAGTCCACTCTCCACCCAGAATCCTGAGTGATCTTTTCAAAACATAAGACCAGCAACTCACCTACTAAAAGACCCCCCAATAGAATGGCTTCCCATCACAATTAGAATGATATGTAAACTCTACTTTGGTCTCACAAATGCACAGTACTCTGACCTTGTCTATCTCTTCATCCTCTTTTTGAACTTGTCTTCCCCCTCATTCTCTGTAGTTCAGCCACACCGGCCTCTCTGTTCAGCCTTGAACAGGTCAGGTTCTTTCCAGTTTCTGCACTGGCTGTTTGCTCTGCCCAGAAAGCTCTTCCTCCAGACTTCTTGCTCCTCACTTCAATCAGAACATCACCTCTTCAGAGAGGACTTTCCTGACCTCCCAGAGAACCCCCACGTTGTCCTGCTACTCTCTAGCCTCTTATTCTGTTGACATTTTAAACAGTGCAAAGTAATCCTGAATTCTTTTTAATATTAAATGAACTTTATCTTTATTTTTTAATTAATAGTTATTTTTAAATACTAACTTAAAATTAAGTTATATCTACTTGAATAAGAGGAATTGTAGCATCAATTAAATAACAGTAGCTAAACAAGAAAAGGAATCATCAAAATAACTTTAAAGAGAAAACAATATACATGTTCTGAGAGGTTGTGGATGTCCAGGACCCAGCTGCTGTGGAAACTGAGGCAAACCTCAGGTGACCCTGGATTCTTGAGCTCTTACCGTAATTCCCTCCTCCTTCCTGCGGGGCCTAATGACCCATGGGATCCCCTGACTCCTCTGGGTCTCTGTGGGCTGTGGGTGGAGCAACAGGAGCAACAGGGCCACTTGGGAAAGGCTGGACCTTGGACTCGACCTTGGCCAGCATTCGCCTGTTGCGATCATTTTCTTTCCTCACCTCCATGCGCTTTCTCTCCATGGCTGTGTTCCAGCTTTCTTAAGCCCTTTCTCATGGAAGACGGTCTCCTTTGCCTTGGTAGGAAGTGCTTCTCTCCAGTTCCTTGCCCAGGTCTTTTCCATCTTCCTGTAGGTTGCAAATCTGATATGCGGAGTGCACGTATCTACAGACACGTTGAGAAGTTTCTTCTCCATTTCTAAGCAGCTCGTTTCCTCCTCGGTTTTTTCTGAAGTTGTGTTAAGTGATCTTCATATGACTTCTGCTGCTGAGTCTAACTTTTTAGGTTTGAATTTTCATGCTGCAAAGATGCTTCCTCAAATTGGAGATTAGTTATCTGTCCTGGGAGCTCTTCCTTCACTTGCTTTTCTTCCCACAATTGCCTGGCTATTTCATGATGTTCTTCTTCGGGACTTTGAGGACACATTGAAGATGGCATTATCAGGGACACCCTTCAGGTCAACTTGCAACCGAAGGATGGGGTGATCACAGTTTTCTGCTTTCCTGTTTTGTTTGACCTGGCACTTCATGTGACTTAGGTGATCTCAGGTGAAGGGATGGTCTGTAGCAGTTTTTCAGCCTCTGATATTACTTGACTGATTTTATCCTCCAGGACCTGCTCTGTTTCTGTGTTTGGCTCCAGCCTGTCTTTCTCCTGCTCCTTTTCCTGGACTCACTTACTCCACCTCATATTAGTGGAGCAGTTGTGGACTTTCTGAAAAATGAATGTTTTCATTAAATAATTTTTTATTTTCTTCCAAAGTTGCTCTCCATGGATTTCTGATGTTTTTGAGATGGGTTTTCATGTCAGCTGGGAAAGTTTAGGAGACTGGCTCCTCCATACATTTGCAGAGAGTCGACCTTGTCCTGAAGTGACAACCTGCTCAGGTCTGTGTTCAGTGCTAACAAGCACAAGGCCTGGCCTCCACCACAGGCAGCCTGAGGGAGTCCTCGGCACATGTCACTGGTTCAATATTCTTACGACATCTCCCACAGACTTCACTGGGGCAGAACACCTTTAGCCTAGTGCCCTCACATTCCTAAAGTGTGCCATCCCCTTACTATGAAAGACACCCACACACAGCACAGACCAGGACCTCCCAGGGAAAGGCACGGAGACCTGGGACGTGTCTCAAGCTCTCAGAAATCTCCAGCATCGCACAGGTGCTCCAGGACCCGCTGGAAGGTGGATGTGGTGGCGGACAGTAGGTTTCCGTGGCCGGTCGGGCTCACAGCTCTGCCTCCAAGTGCCAGTGTCCTATGGGCCACAATTGGCCACTCAGAACCCTCCAAGTGTTCTGTCACTAAGGTAAACAGATACCCAGAAACCCAGGAAGAACAGTTGGGCTGGGGGAGGGGAGGACAAGGGTTCTAGAAGACAGTTTCCCCCAGCTGCTCTGAAACAGAAAGTGACCTCATGTCTACAGGCACTGGGGCAGGTGGAGAGGCCGATTGCAGTCTGGAGTACAGAGTTCACATCTACGCCTTTGACTCCCCCATAAAGTGTCCCTTACTACTAACACCTTGCATTAATAGGGTGCATTTGTTACAATTGATGAACCAATATTGTCACATCATTATCAACAAAAGCCCATAGTCTACATTCGGGTTCACCCTTTGTGTTTCATAGCTCTGTGAGCTTTGACAAATGAATAATGTCATGTATTTATATCACATTATCATACAGAATAGTGTCACAGCCCTCAGAGTCCCCAGTGCCCCATCGACTCATTCCCTCCCTCTTTCCTCTTGAACCTCTGGAAACCATTGATGGCTTTCCTTGTTCTGAAGTCTGATCTGTCTGATATTAATATATCTACTCTTGCTTGCTTTCTGTTTTTTTAATTTTTCAATTACAGTTAATATTCAATAATATTTTATATTAATTTCAGGTGTATAATCCTGAATTCTTAGCCTATATTTATTTGTTCATGTCTATCTCCCCCAAAAGAACACAAGCATCTTACTGTCAAGAACTTTTCCTCCTTGTTCATTCTAAGCATCTAGAACAAGTGCTCAATAAATACTTGCTGAATGAATGGATGCAAGAATAAATGAGCAAACTTCAGGAGGGAGTAAGAGATGAGATGTAGAAAGGTAGGCAAGCTGGCAGAGGCTCAGGTAAAGACTGTTATTTAAATAAATTCAAAGCTGTGAAGTACTTCCAGGAGCAGAGTAAGCAATAAAAATGGACAGACACAAAGGAAGGTGAGGCAGAGGACTCAGAAGGGCCTCTGTTGGAAGGAAATTTCTGCAATGATGAAATATTCTCTATTTCTGCTGTCCTAAAACAATAGCCACTGGCCACATGTGACTACTGAGCACTTAAAATGTGGCTGGTGGGACTGAGGAACTGAATATTAATTTTCTTTCATTTTAATTTGCATTAAATAGTCACATGTGGCCAGTGGGTATGGCATTAGACAGTGAAGTTCTAGAACCTGAAGAATCCCTTCCCCCCAATGTAACTTCAGGATAACAATACATACCTCACATTGTGAATTGTTGAAAAGATTAATGCAATAAAAAGCCTTGTTAAATGTCTAAAACAGAGGTGGACCTCAAAAAAATTATAGCTGCTATTATTACAGCATTGCAAATTAAAGTACTTTTAAGTACATACCATGTAAATTTGGCTCTAAAGTGCTGGAAACAGGCTTTTAATAATTGTTATCATAATTTTTTGTTTGCTAGAGTTAGTGGATAACCAATGTGTAGGTCTGTCTATATTTGAGCTCATAAACTAAAAATAGCAAACAACCATTTTGGGATCTCAGGAAGGCCTTTGCAGTGATAAATGACTATTCCAAGTGGATCCACTTGCTGATCCTTCTAATGAGCTAATTAGTTTTAACAACAGCTAATTTAACATTTGCAAAATCTGGATTTGTAACATTACTGTATTATTTTCAAACTTTGTCTTCTGCAATTTCCCAAATGCTTTGGATAAGAGTAATGTTAGCTTTAATACTTACTATTAAAATAAAGGGAAAAGTATTTTATTACTGGAAACATTATGTTGAACTTAAATTGATTTAGACATGATTTTTTTCCTTGTCAGAGGCTCACCATACTTTCTTCCATACTGAATCCAGAATATAAAATTAACACAGATATGTAGTATAAGCAGACCATTATAATGAACCCTTAGGAATAACCTAATCTAATAATAAAATTACACATTTGTTCAAGATAAGCATGGGCATATGTTTAGGTGAAGAGAATGTGCAGTCCTTAGCAGCAGAGGTGGACATAGCATCCCACAGACCCTGCCTAAGTGCTGGTGGAGACTCAGTTTGAATGAGGGCTTAAAGGTACTGAGAAAAGTTGACACTCTTATTAAAGAGGCCAACTAATCTGCATCACTTGGAAACCACTTCACCTTACTTGAAACAGTGCCCTGGGACATAATATAAATGAGATTGGAGTGGAAAGGGAATGGAAATTCACTTTTCTAGGAGGAAGCCTTCCCAAACTGCCCTCCTGGCTTTGCTGTTTGAAATGCAGATCCTTTCTGGGCCAACCCCACCATGAAGCTGCGGTAGCAGAGCAGGAAGAGGGTGAAGACCCTAAATACTAAGATGAGATGCTGTGAAGACTTACCTATGGGCATCACTAAGAAAAAAGGCAGCCAGCAGAGGACGAAGCAGCCGACCACGATGCCCAGTGTTTTGGCGGCTTTCTTCTCCCGAGAAAACTTGAGGAGTCTCACAGAGAAGTGCGCTTTGTTCCTGGCGCTGGGCATCCCCCTGCCTCCTACCGGGGCGTTTTTCCGATGGATGCGGAGCGTCACCTGCTCCGAGTCCGACTTGTCGGTCTTGAGTCCCGCCTTGAGGCCCCGGCTCTCCCGCCGGGCCACCACGTAGACCCGGCAGTACATGACCAGGATGATGGCGAGCGGCACGTAGAAGGAGCCCAGCGCCGAGAAGAGCACGTAGCCGGGCTCCTCGGTGATCTGGCAGATGGTCTCGTCCTCCGGGGCCGGCTGCCTCCAGCCGAACAGAGGCCCCACCGAGATGACGAGGGAGAGCGCCCAGACGCAGAGCAGAGCCAGGAGTCCCCTCTTCTGGGTGACGATGGTGGGGTAGCGCAGCGGGTAGCTCACGCCAATGTAGCGGTCAATGGAGATGATGCAGAGCCCCAGGATGGACGCGGTGCAGCACAGGACGTCCACCGCCGCCCAGATGCTGCAGAAGACTCTGCCGAAGGCCCAGTAGCCCAGGATCTCGAAGATAGCGGAGAAGGGCAGCACGGTGGACGTGAGCAGAAGGTCGGCCACCGCCAGGTTGACGATGTAGTAGTGCGTGACCGAGTGCAGGTGCCGGTGGCAGGCCACGGAGAGGATCACGAGTATGTTCCCCAGGACCCCGAAAATGATGAGGCTCCCTAAGATCACCCCGAGCAGAATGGCCTTGGAAATGTTCACCGGAGCCTGCGGGTGAGTGCAGTTGGAGCTGTCTGAGGCATTTCCAGAGAGAAACACCATGGTCCTAGCCGGCCTGCCGGGCGAGGTCCGGCTCTCCACGGCCACCCCCGGGCGGGGGCGGGAGCGGAGGCGGGATCGAGGGAGCAGGGAGTCAAAAGGTCTGGGCTTGGGGGAGCCTTGCCCGCTGGGGTTGGCCGGGGGTGACAGAGAGTGCGCCGATGGGAAGCAACCCCTGCCAGCCCTGGAAACTCTCGGAAGGCCACGCCAAGGGGCAGGGCATGAAAGGCGACATGGCGGGGCGAGCGGGGTGTCCGCGGACGCCCTCCACCCGCTGCTTTGGACCCAGACCCCCCCTCCCTACCTACAGGAGGCTTGGCGCCACGCTCGAGGAGACAAGTTGCAAAATGCCGCCCCGGGATTATGCGAGTCCTCTATTCCGCTCTGTCTGATGCGTCCTGATGAGAAGATTCAGCATTCTGCACATCAGTTGGGATTCTCAAATCCAGCGCCAGTCTCCCCCACAGCCCACCAGCAAGCAGCGGTCTGCCGTCGACTCTTACAGGTGGGGACCTTTGACATCTGGACCCTGCCGCCGGCCCGCAGTTACCCACCGAGTGGCCGGCCCGCCGTAGATCCAGCTTCTAGGCGCGCGGGCGGGGGACGTGGATGCGAACTGTTCACCAAGACCCAGGGTCGTCAGCCGGCGTCTTCCTGAAAGAGCGCGAAGAGAAAGACGGGGTGTCAGCCAGGCGCACGGGGGTCGAGGTCACGGGGGATCGAGGTCGTGCGGGGCTCCACGAGGAGGACCCGGCGGGGAGCCCGGCTGACTCTGCGGTACCAGAGCGGCTGGCCCTGCGGCAACAGAGGGCCCGCGGGAGGGGCTCCGCGCAATGCCCCGGCCGCTGGGAGCCCGCCCTGGCGCGCTCCTCCGCGCCACCGCGGGGTTCAAATCCGAAGCAAATAAATCCCAAACTGCAGCTCCTGGCGGCCGGATGACAGCGAAATTAAAATCCCCGAAACCCGCCAGGCGCCACTGCAGCTGGCGCGTGTGTCTCACCAAACTGAGCGAGTGGAACAGAGGATCTACCCGGCTGCCATCTGAACAGGTCGCTTTGCAGCCACCTGGAGGGGCGGGCGGGAGAGGGACCGCCGCGTCCCGGGGACCGCAGTGCCGCGCGCACGCTCGTGCCGGAGGAATTCACACTTGGGCTTGCGGAGCGCGTGGGTTTGTCCACCAGCCGAGTCGGCCTGAGAGTCAGGTCCCGAGCAAAGCCGGATGGGTCCCCAGGGCTGAACGCGACCGAGATCAGTCCAGGATTCCTTTTCCAATCCACAGGGTCAGAGGTCCCGGAGGACTCGAGCCTCGAGCCACACCCAGGTGGGCTGCTGGGGTCCAGTGGGGAGGTTTGAGGGGACAGGGGGAGCGTCAGTCTGCCGAAGAGGCTTTGCAAGTGGCAGTCACTGCGAATGTTTAGGCGTGAAAATCCAGCCCGCACACCAGCGGACAGAGGATGTCCTGGATATTCTGGGCGGGTTGGGGGAGGGGCAGGGTCAGCGTAGGAAACCCAGGTTCCCACAGCTGCAAGCCGACCGCAGGAACCAGGCAGGAGTGAGAGGAGTGGGGACCCATCTTGGCTTCTAAGGATTCTGGGATTGGACGCTGAGGCAGGACCCCAGACACAGGCTACTGTGAAACCACAAGTTCAAGAGCTCACAGGTGGCAATAAAAACAAGCAATAGCAGAAACCCTTTCCCCGCATACACACCTCGGGGTACTAAATGCGGGGTTTAAAACACACTTATTAACTAAGAGGTAACTTCCCAGACTATAGAAGGAGAACAGGGTGGGGTGGGGATACAGGCCAGAGCAGGTGGAAAATGCCAGAGGCACTCGGGAAAGTGGGGGATCCGCTCACGCGGGGGCCAGGCCATTTGCCTTCACCCACCCGGCCCAGCCGGACGCCCGCGCCCCGCTCCCTCCCTCACTCACCTGGAGCCCCCACGCGGAGCTGCCGGGATTCCTGTCCCAGGAACAGCCCTGCCGCCTCCTCTCTAGGGGAGAGGGGACCCACTCTTCCAGGAGCCAATTCCCCGTCCTGTCGCACCCGCTGACTCACCCCTCCACCGCTAGTGTCTTCAAGCGCCTGACTCGCTATCCGCTATCCTTTACTTGGGGACTTTACAATAAAGAGTGAAAATAGCAACGAAAAGAAAATGCAGCTGCTCAATAACTGCACCTTCACCCTTTTAATATTCAGCTCCCAGAAATCAGCCAAGAGCTGGCAAGGAACTTTGCAGGTCTCGCTGACGTAACAAGGCAGTAGCCCAGCTAGTAGCGATCTCCTGCGGTTACCGGTGCTCCGCAGCCCAGGCACATGCGCAAAGCCGTGTTTTTTAAATCTTGCCTGGAGTGGCTTGGGTTCTCGCTTTGGTGATGAGGACACAATGCAATCTACAGATGATGTATTATAATATTGTACACTTGAAACATATGATTTGATGAACACTTGGATTAAGTTCTGTTAAAATCAGGAAGAAGCATGTAGTTCTGCCAAATATGCAAGTAAATTATATTATCTGAAGATGTTTTAAGATGCAAGTAAAATCAGATAAAATTAAATAAATCTGTAATAAAATTCTAATTCCAGGAAGATAAAGTGAGCATATCTATAGATTTTAAAAAACAGTATAGCCTGGCAGTGTGGCGCAGCGATTGAGCATGGAACCATGGACCAGGAAGTCAAGGTTGGATTCCCAGTCAGGTCACACACCCCGCGGTTGTGGGCTCTCACCCCAGTAGGCAGCGTGCAGGAGGCAGCCTATCAATGATACTCTCATCATTGATGTTTCTATCTCTCTCTCCCTCGCCCTTCCTCTCTGAAATCAATAAAAACATATTTAAAAATAAAAAGCAATATAGTTTCACTGTAGTTTCTTACATAGTTTAGTGTTTTTGCAGTGCCACGTATTTTTTTTCCAGTTTTCATAAGAAAATATATCCTTTAAAGGAGAATTACTTCCCTTTAATTCTCTTTGATTTATTAATAGCTGGAGCATGAAAAGCTGACATCACCAGACTTGTTTACTTTTTTTCTGGTAAATTCTATGTTCTGCTTACCTTACAACTGAATAAAGCTATATATGTTTTGGAACATTGGAAAAATGCTAACGTTTTCTGCATTCTGATTCCCAACTCTTTCATTGTCATCTTTCATTTTCATCTATTCAGATAAGACACACTATTTTCAAAATATTTACTAGGTTCCCTTAAACCTATAACAAATAGATAACTTTGTTATGCACTTGAATTCCTTCCCTTGAACAGAAGTTTATTTGGAAGTCTCCCTCTTTTTTAGCAATATACCTCAAAATGTCCTGGAGGAATGCCCATGGGAGGATCAGGGGGCTCTGCTTCATTGAATACCTAATATTTAGATTTAATATTATTTTATTTGACTGTGATATTATTTTTAAACATATACCCAAATGGCTAGGTAGTCCATAAACTGAACTTTGTATTGTGCAGGAAGTACACTGGGTGAGGAGACAGTAAACCCAGGTTCACTCTAATTACCACATCACTTGCTGTCTTTCTGTGATTCAGTCCCCTCTGTTGGAGAAGGCTGGACTACAATGCTATGTGACTTTTACATTTTTTCATCAAATGTGCATATAATGTCTATTGTTCAGAAACCTCATCCATCAGAGGGATATATTATTGTTCAGTTGCATATTCATTAGCCTTACACCATGAATTCGCATGCTCTATTAATATCTGTTCCATGGCACACAAGGGAAATAGTGTTATCGACAAGAAAAGCGACTGAAAATTGCTCAGCTCTGCAAGGTCAGTATGTACAAAAGTCTTTGGAACTCCCAGTCCCCATCCCCAATGAACAAGCGTACTCACAAATCCTCTCCTTCCACGGCAACTAACTAGCTAGTGCCAAGACTGAAAAGAGTGGCTCCTTAATTCTAGCCTATACTAGTATGCTACCAGGCAGGTCTTTTAAATTAGTTCTCAGCCTATAAACATCAATCTTTGAGAAATTAACTCTTAGAACCATTTTTCCCCTCAATAATCATAGACCCACAAACAGGAAACTAACCATTTATTGGGGACTCTTTAGAGAATTGTTGAGAAAAAAAAAAAAAAAAGCAAACAAAAACCACATTTAAAATAAAGTAAGGAGGCCAGAAGGGGGAGCTCTCATGCCCTACCGTCATTGCCAAGCACAACAGGGAGAACTCTATTTTTTATTTATTTTTTGTTAAACCTCAACTAAGGATATTTTTTCCATTGATTTTTAAAGAGAGTGGAAGAGAGGGGAGAACAGAGAGAGAAACATCGATGTGAGAGGGACACATTGATTGGTTGCCTCCCACACGTGCCCCAGGGATCAAGCTTGCAACCAAAGTACATGTCCTTGATGGTGTTATAGAAGACCAGAGAAGAACCAAGCAGTGCTTAGAGAGATGGAGTTACATTTATTATTATTACGTGCGGGCCCAGAGAAAAATGTCTCTAGAATTCTGGGCGAAGTCACGCAGGAAGTTTCCTGTATTTATACCTTTTTACTCTCTTTGTCTCCCAAATATGGGGTTTTCTGGTCTCCTTTGCAAGTTCTTAAAGAGCCCCTATGTGCTGGAGCTTTGAGACCTCAACCAAAGGCTTGGCCTGGTGCCAGCACTGATAACTTCGTCTGGGGAAGGTTTAATGGCCTCAGAAATGGGAGTAATCTTATTTTCCTTATTATTTAAGCAAGCAAGTATTTACAGAAGCCCAAATAGCAGGGTTAAAATTTCAAACAATAGTTTTTATATAAGATGGATGCTTCAATGGGAATAGAACCCTGGACCTTCAGTCCACAGGCCTACACTCTATCTACTGAGCCAAACTGGATAGGGTAGGGAGAACCTTTGTAATAGCCCTCCCAACTTCTTCCTCTCCCCATAAAAGTTTCCTCTCTTTTGTTTTAGTGGATTTGCACATGGCCTGCCATGGTTGCATGTTCTGGACTGCAATTCATTGTTGTTCCAGAATTAACCCATTTGCTGGAGAAATATCTGGCTGACTTTTTGTTTGTCAACAGTTGACATGGAGATTCCAGAAAATGTTGAGTTAGACCCAGGGGGAGGTGGAGTAAAGAAAGAGTGGGCTGTGGAATCATAAAGATGCTCACCCTGACATCCTGTAAGACCAGGGTAAAACTCAGCTTCTCTGAACCTTGTTTTCATAATTTTTAAAGGGAGACAATAAAAACCCCCAGGATGGTTATTAAGACTGAGTGAGATTATATCGTGTGAAGCTTATTAAAACTCTTGTTATAAATATTAGCCCTTTCCCTTTCTGCTCATTTTGTGTGCTACTTTAAACACACTTCTAATCCAGAGTGGTTCAGATTCCACACCTGACATAAGCACAATGTATTCAGTTGGAGACATGTGCAAAATGACCTGAGAATTACGTTTGAAGTGGGTGAGCTGGCCCTGGCC